GCATGTGTAGGTATAACAGATTCCCTCAATCCTCCATGCCCCCTCCTGGGACATCGAAAAGTGGTAACTCTGAATCCCGATCGAACGATCCATCTGAACAAAACGCGGATAGAAGACAAATAGAAAGAAGAGAGGGAGTAAAACATCTAATGAAAAACTTATCATTGACGTCATGGAATTACACCAGAATAATACACCAAGACAACACATGAGTACATATATATCATGTGATTATACAAGCATATAAAAACAATGAATGAAATATAAAACTCGAGGATTTAGAATCAATATCGAAGAATATCATGTATGCAATGCGATGCATGAGTCCACCATCCTTACACCTTTATCCTCCCAATAACTATTCGGAAATAACCAAGAGTACAGGTCCCATAACAAGCCGATTTGAACGCACCAAAATATTCCTCGCAAGGATATATGATCGATCTGTTCCAAAGAACTGTGCATTTTAGGACGGTGTCGTATCAAACACTTTTTGGGCATCCCTTTCATCCATCCTGATTGCAAAGAGGGGTTGTCAGAGATCGTCTAGTTTGCGCTGTGAGAACTGTCTGATCCAACAGAATACCTCATCCAGGAATACAAGGGGCTCGTCTCACCTAAACTCACCCTCAAGACTTTGCTGACGAATCACTGCCATCGTCGTCCCTCTCAACATCTCGGGGCTCATTCGTCTCCCGTAAATTTCCTCTCCACTACTTCATTATTCATAATGAGTATGCACACTAACCGAGGTTAGCCAACTAAATCTTTTAATCATTCTTTTAAATGATCGACCCAACCTAAGACATCTCCCAGAGGAATGCTTCTAGTGGGTCCCGATCTTAACACATATAACAAAAAGAGAGAATAATTTCGGCACCACTACGAACCATCGCTGCATTATCTTGGACGACTCCTCTAGCCAAACCTCTTACGGTCAAACAATCTCGCTGCGTGAGCATAATATCACACCCTCGGCCTCGCCTTTAACAAAGCAATTCCTTACTTTTATTACTTTCAAGAATTTCATATAGTTATTTACCTTTACAAATTCTTGATGGCAAACATGCCATTAGGCTCTCGTATATATGAGAGTTATCATTCAGACGACTTAAAAAGAAGTCATGCCTGTATGGAGCCCGCTCGCTCAAGCGAGAGCTGTCTTGCTCAAGCGAGGGCACGTCCATTTTTTTGAGGCATTTGTGGCTTAAGCGAGAAAACAATCAGTTCTCTTGGTGCCTATTTTAGCTCAAGCGAGAGCTGTCTCGCCCCGAGCTAAAACACTTATTTTCTCTAGACACTTCCCGCTCAATTGAGAGTTGTCTCGCTCAAGCGAGAAGAACCTAAATATCATTTTAATTACTTTTCTCAAGGAAAATATTTTTCATTTATATCAAATGTTTTTAAACCTTGAATTTCAAAATTATCACATACATATCATTCTCATAATAATAATTCAAACATTATAATTCAAGAGTAAACATGGTATTTGCACATAACATAAATCGGTATAAGAAATATTGTTGTACTTAATCCAAAAAAACATGCAATTGATTAAGTACAAGCTTTCTTAATACCCAGGGCAACTCCAAACTTGTGAGGGAGTTTGGAGGTCCTGATGCATATTCGGACACCACTGTGTCACGATGTTTTCTCCCTCACCTGAGTGTGTCGGGTCGTTAGGTTCTCTGTTTGCAGGTGAGCTTACTTGATCCGTTCTCCTCTCGAACTCTTCTTTATGCCAAAATAACGTTAATTAGTTAAATGACGATAATTATTATATTTACGAAATAACTTTTTACGCAAAGATAAAACTTCCGATTTAAAATGAATTTAATTGCTTTCGTCCATCCAATTCAAGGTTGAATATCCTTGAATCATCATTTGTCATCGAAAGTCTTACAATCAAATAATACTTTTTAAAGTAAAATTTTCAATAAAACTTATACCGAAATTATGCCGTAATCCGTGGATATACACCTGGCTAGTTCCCAGGAAAGAGAGGTGGGTCATAAAGACACCCTTAAATACCAAGTCTTTCCTTAGACAGAACCTTTCTAGACATGTATTCCCACTTCATTGCATTTTTCCGATAATTCATAAATCTTATTTTTTTGTAAGTAAAACATTTTTACTAAAACTAACCTTTTTAAAATAAGATCATTAAGCTAGACTTATCCTTTTTAAAGTAAGTCAATTTAAACAAAATCAATATTTTTAAATCAATACTTTTTAAGTAACTCTTACCATTTTAAAGTAAGTTCACTTAACTAAGATTCAACATTTTTAAATCATTTTACCATCTAAGACTTCATAACATTTTAAGTTTATAAAGTCAAGACTTTTAGGTAACTCTCATTATTTCAAGTATACTACTAAAACAAATTTTCATGAACATCTTAACACCTCCTAATTTTTTAGGAAAAAACCTCAAGGGTTAGTAAGTGTTATTTTCATAGTCATGAAAATAAATCCTAAGGTAAGACTTTCTACTACTTTAATATCTAAAACTTCGTAACACTTTTAAGTTTATGAAGTCAAGACTTTAATAAATCATCTTTTATCCCAAATCATTATTTTAACTTGGGAATCAAAGAGTAAAATATGTTAAACCACTTTTAAAACATAATACTTTCTAAAAATGAAATATTTTCAACAACTCATCAACATCATAAACTTTCAAGAATAAAATACAAACTTTTTCCTAAACACATTAAAGGTTCCTTTGATGTTAAAATCATCACCTTTAAACATATTCAAATACTAACAATAATTTCTAATATTTCCAAATAAATAACTCATCTAACCTTGTCCAAAGATATAGTTTTTCCATCTAAGAACAAGGAAGAAATTTCAAGATTTACAAAAGTCAAAAACTACATAAAGGTTCATATTATTTTATTATCATCCCCTTTAGTTATGCTTTCATAAAATACTTAAAGAACAAATATAAACTCTACTCTATGAACAAAATAATAAAAGCTCATAATTTTCTATGAAGTATGAGAAGAAGATGAAGAAGATAAAATAAAAGACTACCTTATTCTGTATAAAAAATTTAGTGTAAAAATGAGAGAATGGGGTGAGGTATTTATAGGAGAGCCTCACCCTCATCAAATCAGAAAATTTAATGCAAAGTAAGTAGCTTTAGACTAGCATAGGTGATGTGTCTAATGGTGGTGGAGTGAGAGGATTTGTTGAGTGTTTTAGGGTTTTTTGGAAGCTTTTGCATTACTTGTGTAACAAGTAAGTGGCTCATGAAATGATGACTTCCAACATTATTGATATGATGTAATTTCCCAATAAACGTCGTGTCCGAACATCTTCGGATAATTTCGTCCGGAAATATACAATCTCCCGATTTTGGTTTACGGTTAGAACTTCGAAACACAGAATTTGGAGTGAAAATATTTAGAAATGCGTTCTGAATGAACTTGATGTCTATCTTGACTCGAAATAATATTTCGAAGGCAATGGCGCAATCGGAATTCGATTCCGAGTTACAGAACTCAAAAACACGTTATTGGGCCGAATTCGGGCTATTTGGGCCCGACGATGGTTCAAAAATATTTCGTCACAGAAAATTACGAAAATTTACCACAAAATAGGAAATCACAAAAAAAGACTAATATTCAACTATGTCTTAGCCTAAATCCACACTGATTAATTTCTACAATTAATCGTTGATAAAATAAATAATTAATATAACATACGTAGAAAATTTACGGTGTTACACATTCTAACATAAAATCATTACATTTTATTTTATCTCTTACCTCATACGACCATTCTTACTTTCACATTCTTCCATGTCAACTTTGTTAACCCCTTTTTTACATAGCCATTTCCCACGTACACATACTTCTACAATACCACACAGGGACATTCAATTCACTACTGTCGCGACCCGATTTTCGATTGGAAGACCGGTTCTGCGACTTGGAGAGAGGCGAACTCGATTTCTACCTCTTCCAATTGATTTGGAATCGCCACTACATTTTTTGCGGATAAAACGTAGATAACTCTCTATATGCCCAATTTGGACAATTTGGTCTTTGAACAGAGTCAATTACGGGTCGGGGAAGGTATTAGCACCCCGTCCGCCCGTATTAAAACGGTACCCTCTCTAACAACATGAACTTTTATACCCTTAAAAATTCTTTATTAAAATTCAGTCAATAAAAACAAAATGTTTTATTTTTTATTGTTGTGACAAGAGTTCATCTTGCTCCTACGTATCTCTAGGTGCAATAGGGAAAGCAAAGCTACATAGTTCTGGTTCGAAAGTTAATTGGTGTTGGTTTTGTTGGTTTGAAACGTCGATGTAAATTGTATTCTCTTTAAGAAAAGATGAAGCAGCAGAAACTAATGTCCGCACCGTATCAAATCTTAAAAAGATTTTGAAAATAATTGAAATACTTTGTTGAAATTTATTTATCTTTGATAGATAAAGTAGCAAGACTAATGCCCGTGCCGCATCATATCTTAAAGAGATTTTGAAATAGTTTAAAATATATTATTGAAATTTATTCACCTTTAAGACAGATGAAGTAGCAAGACTAATGTCCGCGCCGCATCATATCTTAAAGAGATTTGAAATAGTTTAAAATATATTATGGAAATTTATTTATCATTAAGATAGATGAAGTAGCAAGACTAATGCCCGCGCCGCATCATATCTTAAAGAGATTTGAAATAGTTTAAAATATATTATGGAAATTTATTTATCTTTAAGATAGATGAAGTAACAAGACTAATGTCCGCGCCGCATCATATCTTAAAGAGATTTTGAAATAGTTTAAAATATATCGTTCCGCTACGAATTGATTTGTCTAATTAATTGATAAACATATACTTATACAAATTTAATTGAACCTCTTTGATTAAATAAGATTACTCAAATAAATGAATGAGTATAATAAAAAAATAAAATAATAAAAAGAAAAACATAAACAGAACAAAAAAATTAATGGGTTCGGGTTAGGCCCAGCTAAAAAAACGGATTGAAGGGAGAGGGGTCAGATTTAGGTTTGTCATTTTTGGCTTCAGGGCTCTGGGAGAAGAGGGAGAAGAGAAGTGAGAAGTGAGAAGTGAGAAGTGAGAAGTGAGAAGAAGGGGAGGAACGAAAGTGAGAAGGGGGAGGCGAAAATGAGAAGATGGAAATGCTCGTCTCGGCGACACAACATGGGGATTCCTCTCTGAGAGAAAGACGACCTCGGTTCGAAGTAATCTTCTTCCCCCTTTCGTCTCTTTTATTCGTAGCCCATTGTTCTAACCTTGGAACCCTTTAATGGCAGATTCCCCCGTTCCAATGGTGGTCCAGAAGTTGATGATGGATCAACTTCATGCTTAGACTCCTTTTCTTTGCCATGGAATCCATGTGGCCCGAAAGCTAGGCGACTCACAGTCTTGACACCCGATACCAGCAATATCGTCATGGATTCGGTAATCAACTCTAACCCTTTCTACGCTGAAATCGTATTTAATCTTTACTGTATGACTTGTTAATGATGTGTTTCTGTTTTTTTCATTCTTGGCCAGTTAAGAACACATGCATTTTTTATGAGATTGAATGAATGAATAGATATATCCTCGTATGATTAGCATTCATAAAATATGTGTATGGTAGCCCTGTTTTTAGTGGTTCAACAAGGTGGTTTCCTCTTTTAATTTAAATGTTTCTAAGTGATCTTATAAATATGAGCAGAATGCTGAATTACATCAATAGCTAACACCGAAACGAAAAGAATGTCAACTCTTTAATATTAAATAATCGAATATACATAATTTGAACCCAATTAGCATCATGATGAGTAAAAATAATTATATGCTTATGTTACCTGAGTATGATGAGTATCATACTTGATTCTTACCTTTTAAATGTCGACTTTAGTCCCTGGCCGATCTTGATTCTGGTTTACCCCTTTCTTGATTTCGTGTTGATCCTAATTGACGATACCTGCTATGGGTTAGGGTTGTGTGGATGGATTTTTGGGTGTTTTCTTTGGGTGTATGTAGGCTTTTGTGTGTTGTTAATGATGTGCAGGTGATTTGCTATGAGAATTGCAATTCTAGATGGTACGTGTATAGAGAATAGCAATTGAATGCTCTAGGTCATACAGAACGCCCATGTGTGTATGATTATCTGTGTGCTGGAATGATGTCGAAAGTAATCCCCCTATTGTGTGTAGTAGGTGGCTTTTTTATAGCTGGTTATAGATTTTAAAGCAAAAACCTTTTGAATTGCTTCCCTTTGATCTCACCTACGTTTTTTCTGATCATTCTCTGTGTCCACTAATTTTCCATTATTACTCCTGAATGTAATTGTTCATTATGGCCTTTTGTTGATTGGTAAATGCTCATCTAATTGCCTCTCTTATGATTGCTTATTATTACTGATTGTAACTGACATAACAACTTCTCTTTTGCATCTGTTGAGTATCACGTTGTTTGGAATTCTGCTAAGTCAAGGGTGATTTTCTTTTGAAATGTGTGGCTTAATGAATCCTTTGATATGCAGCTCTGTATTTTCATCTTTTGGTATTTGCTGATGTGGTTAACTCCCCTTATTCCTTTACTAATAATATTTTGTTTGATGTATCAAAGTGTAACTGTCTGAAAAGATGCCAATGACAATGATTCGGTCTTCCATCTTTTGCGTTTTATTCTCTTCTAATACCATTTCATAAAGATCTCATAATATAACTTCTTGCCCAGGAAAAAATCTGCACTATTTGATCTTTGATTTCTGTTTTTGTCAGGTTTTCATTTACACGTCCCAAGAAGAGCATTATCAACCATATTATTTGTGGAAGTTCCCTGGTTGGGTCTGAGATTAAAGGGTGGTGCATTTGAATGTTTCCTGCAATACGTTCACCATCCTCTCTTTACTAGCACGTTGAGTACACAAGAACTCAAATTGAGATCATAAGATGACATCAAATCCACTTGAACATCATGGTCTTGAGTCTTAAATACTATAATCTCCAAATCCTTGTTTTGAATTAGCAACTGTTCCCAAAGAAAGTATAGCATTCCATGATAAATGTAGAAGACCCGAACTTATCACACAAGATGCAAGCTGTGATCCACTGCTAAATAATGAAGATTGGGACATGGTGGTTGAAGGAGAGGTAAGATAAAGTAGAAGGTTGTGATGAAGATGATAGTGAAGGAAGAGAAGAAGTATATAAGAAGGTTGAGTAATAGTTGTACAAAAGAGAAGGTCCCTGCAATGAAAATCAATCGAATAATATGGTTGATTACAAAAAAGGAATGCTTTGGAAAGCCAACACACGTCTCAACATTTTTATTTAACTTATCAAAATGTTTTTTTTCTTGTACGAAATAAAGCACTTTGAGTTTAAATCTCAATGAGTATTAGACCATATTCACTTATGCAAGGATCCACATTTTTGCTAAACACAATGTTGTTTGATTTTATGTTACCATGAGCTATTCCACTTTAATTCACAGATATTGTTCACAGGTCTATACATGACACATTTATTATTGAACAATGCATTATTTGTCTAAAAGGTATAGCTTTCAGTCGAAATCAAGGTATCAAGAATAAATCAGTGATAATTGCAAGACACTGGTTGAATATGCTTTAAGACCATATATACTTAATTGTCATGTGGTAGGATAACCATGAAACATGTCATCTTGATTAGTTATGCACATCGCGAAATTTTCATTTTTTACTGTGGGCCGGACAAAATTGAGTGTTCACAATTATCACTTGGACAAGACATTCAATTCAATAGCACTTGGGCAAGACATTCAAATCAATACCACTTAGGCCAAGACATTCAATTCAATATCACTTGAGCAAGACATTCAATTCAATAGCACTTGGGCAAGACATTCAAATCAATACCACTTAGGGTAAGACATTCAATTCAATATCACTTGAGCAAAACATTCAATTCAATACCACTAGGGCAAAACATTCAATTCAATACCACTTGGGCAAGACATTGAATTCAATACCACTTGGGCAAGACATTGAATTCAATACCACTTGGGCAAGACATTCAATTCAATACCACTTGGGCAAGACATTCAATTCAATATCACTTAGGACAAGACATTCAATTCAATACCCCTTGGGCAAGACATTCAATTCAATACCACTTGGGCAAGACATTCAATTCAATACCACTAGGGCAAGACATTCAATTCAATATCACTTGGGCAAGACATTCAATTCAATACCACTTAGGGCAAGACATTCAATTTCTTTGATACATCCCACATCTTATCCTTTTCGAGTCAACCACATATAACCGCATATCTCATAAGGCATATCTTGGAATAAAATGCTTATCCTTACCTTAGTGAGTGTTGGGTTTTGTCCTTGGTAACTTTGCAAGTACCTCCGACACTGTCTCTGTTAGGATATATGGCCACCTAAGAGGGGGTGAATTAGGTGTAGAGACTTAAATTGAATATTTCTACTTTTATTTTAAAACTTTGCAAGTTTAAAGAGAGCTTTTCTATGAGAGGAAGTATTAAACAAAATAGTTGAGTAAAAGTAGAAGATAATGCCACACTTGGTGAAATGTTTACAAGACACTAACTTGTATTCTTAAGATGGTTTTACAAGGCTTTTTAATAAGTGACTCTCTAATAGTAATTGAAGCCTTATGGATTGAATCACTCACTAAATGATCACTTAATTTAGAATCAAATAACTTGGACAAAGGCTTTTGTTTGTGCTTAAGACTTTGAATAATTTCCAGAATTGGAAAGATATGAAAATTGATATCAAAGTCTTAACACTTATGAATGAATGAGAGAAATTATGAGAACTTTGTGACTTTGTGAGTATAAAGTTGTATTCAGATTTTTGTTGAAAAACAAGTCATAGAACACCTATTTATAGTGTTTATTTCGTGCACATGAACCAATATGAGTTTGTGAAAAGTTAAGAGCTACATCAGTTCAATCAAAACAGAACCAGTATACTGTTCTGATAAGTGTAATCGATTACCATATAGTGTGACACCAGTTAAAAAATTTAAAATACAAACTCAACGGATTGATGTAATCGATTACCAAACATAGTGTAATCGATTACAATGTGAAAAATGCACATATCTGATGTTTTTAATATGTTGTAATCGATTACTAGTATAGTGTAATCAATTACATCATGTAAAATGCACAGGTCTGATTAGTTTATCATCATGTAATCGATTACCAGGATAGTGTAATCGATTACACTGTTTAAAAACAAAACATTTATGCTGTAATGCAAATAATCTTAGTTTCATGCATGAGTTTTTCAAAGATCAGCCTTTATCGTATAGTTAAGAGATTTTAAGTTCAAGTATCGTTTTACCTAGAAGACTTAGACTACACATATGAGCTTCTTTGACTTTTGATTTGCTAGTCTTCTTTTTGCATTTGATGACATAGTGAGCATCATCAAAACCTTAGCCATAGGTTGGGAAAGATCACCATCTTCACAATCTCCCCCTTTTTGATGATGGCAAATTATGTCTTGACAGTTGATTCATGTTTAGCGGTTCTCCCCCTGTATTTTGGTCTTATTGCATAACTTTGAAAAAAACATTGTGCCTGAAATACATTTGAACATACAACCCTTTTCTCCCCCTTTTGACATTATCAAAAAGGAGACTAGGAATAACAGATTAAGCATAATAATGAAAGGATAATATGCAGAAAATCATTCATAATTTAACTTAATTCTTTTTCTGCCAAAATACCAAATTCTTTCCTAATTTTGAAGAATGGTTCTTTTCCTAAAGGCTTTGTGAAAATGTCAGCCATTTGTGCATGTGTGTCAACAAACTTAAGTTCAACATCCTGCTTAAGAACATGGTCTCTTAGAAAGTGATGTCTAATGTCTATATGTTTTGTTCTAGAGTGCATTATAGGATTCTAAGAGATATTAATGGCACTTGTATTGTCACACAAAATGGGAATGCAACCTATGTCAATACCATAGTCACACAGTTGTTGTTTTAGCCACAAAACTTGGGCACAACAACTACCGGCAACAATGTATTCTGCCTCAGTGGTACTTAAGGCTACAAGCAATTAATGCATTGCCAAAAATGTGACAAGTACCACTAGTACTTTTTCTTTCGGTTTTGCAACCGGCAAAGTCAGAATCAGTATATCCAATTAAATTACATAGACTACCTTTTGGATACCATAAACCAACATCCAAAGTTCCTTTTAAGTATTTTAAGATTCTTTTTACGGCAGTCAAATGCGACTCTTTTGGACAGGAATGATATCTAGCGCATAGACACACACTAAACATAATATTAGGCCTACTAGCAGTAAGATATAGCAAAGAGCCAATCATGCCTCGATATTTTGTTATATTTATGGGGTTACCTGATAAATCCTGATCTAGATATGTGTTGGTACCCATAGGTGTGGCCATCTCTTTACAACTGTCCATTTCATATTTCTTTAAAAGCTCTTTGCAATATTTAGTTTGACTGATAAAGATTCCACTACTAGTTTGTTTAATTTGAAAACCAAGGAAGAAGTTTACTTTGCCCATCATGGACATTTCAAACTCTCCGTGCATCATGTTTGCAAATTCACTACATAAAGATTCTTTTGTGGAACCAAAAATGATATCGTCAACATAAATTTGCACAAGCAGAGTATGATCATCAAGTCTTTTGATAAAAATAGTGGTATCGACTTTTCCTTTTGAAAAGCCTTTGTTACACAAAAAAGTGCTTAAACGATCATATCATGCTCTTGGGGCTTGTTTTAGCCCATAAAGAGCCTTTTTCAACTTATAAACATGAGTGGGATGATGATGGTCTTCAAAACCAGGGGGTTGACTGACATACACTTCTTCTTCTATATAACCATTTAAGAAGGCACTCTTAACATCCATTTGGTAAAGTTGGAAGTCTAATGAGCATGCATAGGCTAAGAGCAATCTAATGGCTTCTAGTCTAGCCACAAGAGCAAAAGTTTCTTCATAATCTATTCCTTCTTCTTGATTATAACCTTGTGCTACCAACCTAGCTTTGTTTCTAACTATTATGCCATTTTCATCTAATTTATTTCTAAAGATCCATTTGGTTCCTATGATTTGCTTGTTACTAGGTCTAGGGACTAGTTCCCATACTTGGTTTCTTTTAAATTGATTTAACTCTTCATGCATAGCAATCATCAAATGTTCATCATCAATAGCATCATTTATCTTAGAAGGTTCTATTTGAGAAACAAAAGCCATGTTAAGACATGCATCTCTAAGACTAAGTCGAGTAGTTACCCCTTTATTGATGTCTCCAATGATGTTGTCAATTGGATGATCTCTGTGTGTTCTCCATTCTTGAGGAAGGCCATCGTGTTCTTGAGTAGAGATATGAGGTTGTTTTTCTTCTTTCGTCATTTGTTCTAGGTTGAGTTGTTCCATGGACTTTGTCACTTCATTTTGAGAAGTGCTTGGTAGATCACTGTCATGATCATCACAAACAACTTTTTCTTCCATATAAGGGTTAGATTCATTAAAAGAAACATGTATAGATTCCTCGATGGTTAAAGTTCTTTTATTAAAAATTCTATAGGCTTTGCTTGTGAGTGAATAACCAAGGAAAATTCCTTCGTCAACTTTAGCATCAAATTTACCAAGTTTACTCTTTCCATTGTTAAGAACAAAACATTTACACCCAAAAATGTGCAAATGAGAGATATTTGGCTTCCTACCTTTATATAAAAAAAATAATATATTCGAGGGGGAAATGAGAGATATTTTGTTCCACCACAGAGAAGTTTTTGATTTTTTTCATTTCAAAGAATTTATGTGATACATCAGAGAGGGGAGTTATTGTCTATCGTTGGCCTCTATGGTAGAATCAGTCGGGGCCTGAGAGGCGGTGGTTTACCCTATGGCGGATATCAGCGGTTCGAGTCCGCTTAGGGGTCATTTTC